AGACCAAACATTTACTACAGCGGGTATCAACCATGTATATATATGCACACACCCACAGTCTTACACATACAAGAGCAATACAAATAGGGAAGAGGTGAGAATGAGAAAAAGAAAGGGAAGTGGTGGGAATGAGAAATAGAAGAAAGGGGAGAGGTGGCATTGAGACAGAGAGAAAGGGTCTATTCAGTCAAGGATGACATCATTACAAAAAATAAAACGTTTCAATAAAATCTAAAACAAGAAAGTGTAGTTTGCTTTCATTCCATGACTATTCCAATGTATCAAGTGAATGGCATTTAACTTTACAAACAATTGAAACGAAAAATAACCATATTGATGTATATATGTGCACCATGTTATCATTACTGCTCGTTATTTCTATCAATGGTCCTCTTCTTCTCGAGTCACTACGCCAAAACGTTCACTCTTGTTTAGATTGTCCCAATCCAGTGTTGGATGAATTGAATCGCGCAGGTGTCGGTGCTTTAAGTACCGGTATGTAGATTAGTTAGATGAAACAGATGGTGGGGCTTCATCCCGGCCCCCCACTCAGTGTTATTTAGGGTACGCATATGCGTGTTCCAACCGACCCCCCCCCCCCCCTTTTCAGCAAAAGTCCGGTGTGTAAAGTCAATACGGCTCGACCTTTTTCTTTTGTTACGAAAAGGACATTTTGGCAACACGCATGCGGTCATTTTGAAACCTGAGTGGGGGGCCGGGGGCTTCATGGATTCCAGTAGTTAGTTAGATGTACACTACCTGCCAGAGCTTAGAAAAGTTAGGAACAACCCTTCCCAGTACAAGCAAGGAAATTAGTTAAGTTAGTTTAGTTTAGTCTGACATGTCTGAGATAGCAACTTAATATGTTGCTATTGTTTGTGGTGTTGTAACAGGTGGTCAACTTTGGCATAGTTACATGCCACTTTCTCAAGTTAGCTCATTGATGACTGACAGATGATATCACAAGGGGAATGAGATCTGGAGGTTTTGGGGGTGGAGCTTAGCAAGTTTGAAAAACAAATATTTAAAAAAATATTAAAATCTATGAAACAAATTCAGAAGTTTACATATCAAAATATGAGATGTATGCAGGATTGCACACCAACAAGAACACACTTGTATTTCGATGTCATGGGCCCTTAAAAGGGATAGTTGAGTTCTGTTGCAGAGGGCGCTACACAAAATATTTTTTTGTAAGATAATGAAAAATTGAGTGTCAAATTTGAAAGAACATAATATTTTAATGACAAAATCATCTTTGTTTGATCAAAATCGGTTCAGAGACGGCTGAAATATAACGATTTCTAATACTTGTGTACCACCACAAATATTAGAAAAAACCGTTGAAAAAAACAAAATAACGCCTTTTACATCGTATTTCAGATTTTCAGCCAATGCCGATGTTGGCTTTTTTGTTGGCATTTTCGTGTTGCTTATATTACCCACAATTAGCCGGCTCATGTATTGTAATTTTTTAATTAAATCATTTATTAACGGTCACCCTGTTTTTTTTAAGTGGAGCTGAATTGGTATGATCGTATTGGCTAAATTTCACACATTTTGGGGTCTAAGATTACCTTCATAGCAATTGTAGGTTCTAAAAGGGCAATATAAATGTCAAAGATAAGAATAAGAGCAATAACCATGCACTTTGAAGGCATTTGCGGTCTGAAAACAGAACTCAACTATCCCTTTAAGGTGCAGCTTTTCACAAGGGTCTTCATGTTCTTTAATGTCCCATTTGCAGGCCAAAAAAATGAAAAGGTTAAATTCCAACGGCATTTGAAGATAATACTAATTTAGAACTTCCCTCAAAAAAGGGAGCTTGAAAATGTCTTTAAGTGGGAAAATAACGACTATTAGTTGTCGAAACGACAAAAGTGCTACCAAGTCAGTAAGTAATAGTCTGGATTTTAGACCATTGTACCGTATGGTCGTACGTTTTGGGCTGCCCAAAGATTCAATCAGTTTAATTTTGGCCATTACAAGAAGTGAGTTATTGATGTACCATTACAGCTCATTCTATGTGTGTTATTACCAAAGAAGAAAAAAAGCCAGTCAGTCACTCAACAGTGTCTGACAGTGAAGTCTAGCAGGTAAACGGGTTTCCTTGCATAATATGAATATTAGGACACTGCTAACATTCAAATTTCACAGATTTCACAAAGTTCTACAGAATTTGATGTCGGCTATAGCCATAGCCAGCCCGTCTGAAGATCGAGCTAGCCGTATATCGCGAACTTTACTGATCTCCGTCTTTTCTCGATTTCCCCTTTTCCCATTTATCTGGTTCTACGACTTAATTTATAAAAAAAATATAAATTAATCGGCCTAATCCTGCATTTTTGTAATGAATATCTGAACAATTTTATGTAAATTTGTCGCCTCGTGTGCTTAAGAAGAGTCGTTAGGGTAGCATACAAAATGTCCTTTGCACTCCTAGATAAGACACATACACGCTAACATGCACACACAATATGTGATTATTATTCCAATTTTTATGGTCAAATGAGACGAAAAAATATCATAAAAATCTAACATACATTTGAAGAAAGTATTATTTATTTAGTGCATCTCATTGAAAGTGCCAAAATGAAGGAAATATCACCATCTGCGGTAAATATACAAACAACGTTAAACCCATGTATACAAATTACAATGGGCATCCAACATTGTCCCAAATGTGCGGTGTAGGCAGGGGCGTACGCAGGGGGGGTGTTTTGGGGGTTCAAACCCCCCCCCCCTTTGGTATTTTAATGTATGTAAACCCCCCTAAAAAAACCTAAAAAACCCCCCCTTTGGCTTTTTTTTTTTTTTTTTTTTTTTATGAAAAACTTTTCTGAAAAACTTTTCTGCCGGCTGAGTCGTTGCGATTTTTTTTGGCCTCCAAAAAAAAAAAAGTGTCCGCTTACCCCCCCCCCCCCCCCCCCCCCACTGAGCGACTTTTCGGCCGGCGCGATTTTCAAATTTTCGGGAGCAAAATATTTTAAAACCCCCCCCTTGAAAAAATCCTGCGTACGCCCCTGGGTGTAGGGCTCAGTTGGTAGAGCAGTGGTCTTGTAATCCGGCGACCCGGGTTCGAAATCAAGTCGATGTGCTAGTGCCCTTTGGTAAGGCATTTATCCTCATTACTAGGTCCCTCTGAGAGGACCTTAAGCCGTCGGTCCTCGGGTTGCTTACTAACAAGCATTTATGCTTTAGGTAAAATAACCACCACTACTACGACTAGTTCATTCAAAGATGTCACACTATCGCATGTGTTTTATCGCTGTCATTTTAATTTGTGAGTGGGTTCGGGAAAGGGTATCAAAATTGCATGTAATTTACTCCTCACACTAGTGAGGGCTTACAAAGTACTTTACTCATTTTCTTCAAGGAGAACTAACCCCAAAGAATAAGTGTAGGTATTCTGAAAATGAGATGAATTCATGCCTTTTAATTCAATAACAAAACCTTTACTTTTCAATGAGGGAAAATCATAGCCGAGAAGGTAAGAAATACATTTGGTAAACATATATAATAGGGTAACAAATGTAACTCATTTACTTTCAAAGACTAAAATATAGCGGTTGAAAAATCTATTTCATTTACCGGTATGTGAAACCTTCACCCCAGATCAGCACTAACTTATTTATGCAATTTGCGTTCTGGCAAGTGGAGTACATAGGATAATAGCAGGTGACTGAAATGTTTCAACACCACAAATACCTGGGAAGGAAGCATCCATAAATTTGAATACATTATTTAGTTGATAAACGACTCCGCATAGTACGCCATTCAATCAAGAAAATAGGCATGCCCATGTCTTGCTGAGAATTCTTGCTTTATGCCTTTCTCATACACTTTGGTGGGGAATCTTATAGATTGATAGACAAAAATGCAATAAATCTTTCAGAACAACTAAAGTTATTCTTTGGGGTTAGTTCTCCTTTAAGGTTATCAGCAATCTGTTTAGGTATAATTTACCTATTTTTCAAATTTCAATGAAACTTATCTTTAAGTTGGTTTAATAGAAGCAGAAAAATAAGATTAACAGGTCAGTAAAAACCAATTTAAAATAAGAAAGTTATTTTTTAAGGTGCGTTCAATAAAAGACAAATTGGCAACTTTGTGACATACATTGAATCTTGCAAGGTCCCCTCTCTTTGACCCTGTAATAAAAAATACTTTATAGTTTCCCTTAAGAAAATGTTCAATCATACATAAACTTCATGCATGAAACAAATCTATTCCATCATCAATAACTAAGAAAATTTCATGAAATTTTCTTTATAGAGCAAATTGGAGAGAAGCTCACGAGATACATCACAGTGTTGCAAATATGTGTTCTACTGATGACAACATCAAATATTCAAAACTTTTGTATCTTTAACCGAATATTGCTCAAACTTTCACATTATTTGGTTCTCTTATTTTTCTGCTATTTTCTGATCCTCCTACATGTGAGTTTCGTTTAGAGCATTCAAATTGTATGCATACAACTGTTTATATAAAAACTGAGTATTATTATTATATGGTACTCCCCTGCCCACCCTCTAAGTTTTAATTGTTAGTATGCACACTTAAAGGGATCCGGTAACTTTGTCTCAGATTCTGAAACAAAATTCTGGATTTAGCTTGTGCTGCAATGATAATTATAAACCTTTAGGTCAGTCAGGAACCCCATGAATTTTCCAAGCCCGATCACCTGTCTGATTATCAAGATATTTATGATTGGAATTACAAATTTTGAAAACAGTTTGCCAAACGGTTTTCATAACACTAGTCTATTGGGGAAAACGTGTATGGTAAAACCGGTCACTCAAAGATTTTTACTTTTTGAGGCACTTCTTGATCATTTTAAAGCGCATTTTTTTTTTAGGGCAGCAATATTACACCATATCACAGACACTGATAACACGTAGGGCCGTGTATCTCAGATTTAACATTGTTAAACGATCTCTTTAAATGCTTTTGTTATTAAACACTGCTGCCGCCTTAGTGAAAAGACCATTAATATATCATTCTGTCAAAAGAACCAGCATATTTGCGACATTTAAAAGAATTAAAGAAAATTTAAAATGTAGATTAGAAAAGATAAGAGATGTAAATGGGATAAAATTAGATTAAACCATCATAGGTTGCGTTTATCGTGTCTTGCCACTAGATACATGTATGTACATATCGAACCCCACTATACGAAAGTGATTGGCGGGATGTCGTGTTTATCGTCTCTTCACGATTCAAAATAAAGGCCTTGTGTCGGCGCAGCTAATTTGCGCCGTTTGACCCGGGAAGCAGACAGTTTCTCGGAGGTCAACTACACACACATGCTTGAACACAACACATGGCGCACGCTAGCCTCCGAACCGGAAAGGTCCGCTATGTATGTGGGGTTCAAAACAGCTTTGCGTTTATCATCTCTCAGAAACGTGATTCTGGCTGTATACATTCAAAGCACACCTTTTTGCATCTTTAGATATGCCCTTATCTAAAGACGTTTAAAAAAGGCTTTGCGTTTATCACCTTCAAAATTTGCCTGAAAGACGTTTGAGAAACCTGATTCTAGGCAAAAAAATTGTCAATAAACGCACCCATAGATACATCACAATTGTGGATGAACTGCTCACCTTTGATTCTATTCCTTTCCTGGCAAGTGTTTCAAAAAAACAATGATGGAATGTACCGTGTAGAAAAGCTTTCTTTAAGGATGGCATGGTGCATATCATCTCAGCCACATCAAGTGACTTAGTAGGTCCACCTCCTCTCTGAATTGAGAGTGAAACCTTAATAAAATGATAAAGTGATTACTGATGGGTAAGACGTATACTTGGATGTTGGGCATATATATGTAACCTACATGAGCGGTTGCCCTAGATGTGCTGCTAGAACTACCGGAGAGTAAGATGGAAAAGGAAATAAATAAGGGAGCAGGCTGAAGAACTAATGCCATGACATTTCATATATAATTTCTATTTTTGCTACAGTAGGAATATCTCATCTTAGTTTACCATGTACTAATCAGAGAATCATTAAACAAAATAAAAGGAAGGTATGAGTCTAAATGGGCAGGTCCAAGCTATTTGCTTTGTGACGTACGGGACATTCAGAGACTTTAAACAAGAAATAACAATGGATGACATTATTTATATGGCTATCTTTTGGTATGAGTCTGTGGCTATTATGGGCTAGTTCATTTGTGGAAAGTTTTAGTTCTGACCAATTCATAAATTCATTTTTAACGTAATTAATGTGCTGCGTGACGTACGGGACCAGAGAATTTCTGACTTTTTCAAAAATAAGTTCATCATAAAAGTTCTCTGAATTTATTAAGTTATGAGATTTATGGTAATGATATCTTAATTCATTATGGAATCAAGCATTAATCACAACTATTACCATATTTTTCTGACCTTTCGTTGTTATGTAATATACCAAAACATAAATGTGTGTATGTGACGTACGGGACACGTGACGTACGGGACAACTTTTCCCTATGGGAAAATGCATTGAAATGAAGAATTTTCGTCAAAATTTGTTAAATGTGAACAATTTTAACTTAAATCAGTGACAATTAAAGTGTTTTAGAACCCAATTAGATCATCTGACCATCACTTAATGTCCTCTGTGTTAATTTATGGGGTAAATCAATACAAATATTACTTTAACAAAGAAAACAAATTGAATTAATATATTCATACACACTATATTACCATTTTTATTCCATTTACCCATCTATCATGCGCAGTCATGCTTCTTTTCTCATTTCTTTTATCCATTCCATTCAACATTGCAAAATGTTTTTAAATAATAATTAATGAAGAAGATGAATTTGAACTTGAAAACTTTTATTTAACTTTTTTGAAACACAGGGGCACACTCGGCACATCATATTTTTGTCAAAGAACATTTCTTATGCTCTAAGTGTTTGTGAACAAAGATACATTAAAAATATGAAGTCTTTTCTTCATAGCTTGTTTGAATTACTTGATAGTAATATCAGAGAATTTTGAAGGAATTCAAAGATAATGCTGAACATATTGTCTTTTTTAAATCCTTTTATCACAGATTAGAACATTATGTTGCTGTCATATATTCAAGAATTTAGATGTACATTAATGTAGCCTACATGTACATGTTTGTGAAAGATGGATACAAAAATATAAATCTTGAATGTATTTTGTATTGATTAAAGACATCTTATTAACACCACCAGATATAAGAAATTAAAACCCTAAAGGTTTGTGAGACCTTTTCCACAATTCAAAAGATTAATGCATGGGTGTAAAAGTGATAAAAATTTTAAGTGGGTGAGAGTGTGAAATACTCAAAAAGGCTATCCTTCCTTAAAAGTTATGATTTAGTTTTTAGGAGATCAAAATTCCCAAGCTGGCTCCATAACATGTACAGTGTATGCTGTAATCCTTTACCATCATAATATGACATTTAAATAGAATATCAAAAAAACCTCACATGGAGAGCTTGATAGCATACATGTACATGTGCTAAGATTCTTACCTGCAGCATCTATGAGTTGTAAAAGCCAGCTTCTGGTGCATCTATCTACTACCATATAATTTCATTAGACTCATTCCAGGAACTAGTACACTATTATGATTTACATATTTAGCATCCTGCCAATGTTGGGGACATCAACTGGCAAAATACCAAAGTTGATAATACCAGGGGTCTGGCTTGAAGACTAATTACATCGAATTCAGTACAAACAAGTAAATTCCTAGAAGGGACCCAGTTGAAATGTTTATATATCCCTGTATACAACAAGTTTCCTAACACAGTATATATTCTCCTTTTGGTCATTTCTTTTTTCACATCTTGCATTGGTTTTATATGGGGTTGTCCCGTACGTCACACACTTGTCCCGTACGTCACATTTCTTAATTTGATTATGTAATCAACACAGAATTTTTGTAATTTTTGTTAAACCTATTTTTTGTTAGGTATTCATCTAAATTAGAACTTCCTAGAATATCTTTTAAAAAAAAATTATTTTCATAATTAAAATTAAACAAATTGTGATCAAATTGTGACGTACGGGACATCACATTTTGGAACCTACCTCATTTGCATAATTAATTAATTTTGAAAGTTTTTATATTTTTTTCCTATTTTCTAGCATGGTGGTCTACAATTCCTGAGATATTTAATTTTAAACAAATAATTCAAACGAGATACAAAAATAAAAATGTAAAGTCCCGTACGTCACGCTAATTAATACAAATCGAAGTTCGTGACCTTGGCACTCGTCGTATTTTGATAATTTTTTTTTTTTTTATCAGATTCATAAAATTCATAGTTTCAGCTTTAAAATGAGGTATAGTTTGTTAAATATATATAAAGATGAAATTTGACCCCCAGAGGGGACAATAGCTTGGACCTGCCCAAAAACAGGTTTCAAAGGAGATTATTTAAGTTCACACCATCTGGTGCCTCATACTTTAATCATTTATAAATGGGAACACGATCACTAAATTTTAAAGGGTGGAAATATACGGAGCAAAAATCTAGGCACGCTAAGGAGAACAGAAGTACAATGTTGATTCCCCCTGGATGAGCATTTATATGTATTCATTCTTAACAAGGGAGAGTAAGCAGAAGATAGGATGAATTTATCTACAGTAGTCATGTACATGTAGTTGCAATGTCAATAACACCAATTTTAGATTTTTACACAGAGCCAAGAATATCAAACAAATTCCTTTGCGCCCTGTTACATTTATAAACCAAGATATTTTTTGGAAGGGATAAAAATGTGCAAACTATTGATGAAGTTCCCTTTCCCCAAATGTTATCTTGTCTTAAAGGTATAGATGCATTTTGTCATGTATTATATGGTATAGATGTATTTTTTATATGTATTATATGCATGTGCCAGTACATAGCTTCAATGTCATTGCATTGACGTCCTCGCCAATGCCTTGTAATTTGTGTGTTCTGAATTTTTTTTCTTATTCATCTTCCACTTTTTTTTTCTTTATCAAATGGGACTTTTTAGACGCCATTTGATATCCTGCATTGCAAATGTATCGCACTATATGCGTCACATATTATTATGCTAGCATTGCAATGTATCGCGCTATATGCGTCACATATTAGTATATGCTTACCATCCAAGGCCATGAACACCACAGTACAGGAAAACCATACGTGATTAATGACATGTGCCTTGTTGCGTGTTGTGTACATAACATCATCTAATTGCTTTATTTATCTGCTCAAAGAAATGGAAATGCGGGCATCAATGCATACATATCATTTTACGATTGCAGCTCTTGATATACTTAGATAATAGCACAGATAATAGCACATGTGCTAGTTGGGATACACCCTTCCATGATTATACTGTTGTACTATGAGAAAATTACAAAAGATGTAAAAGTAAGAATTACTTGTACAACAATGTATGAACTAATTGTGGTTATCGAACAATGATGAAACTTACCAAATGTACCCCAGTGAATACATAAGCAGCTACAGTGTGTGCTGATGACGTGATGCATATCACACTCTTCTCTGATGAAATCCCGGCCTTCACCAAGGCTGCTACATCTGGGTCCTGACTCTCAAAGGCTAAATCAACAATGAAATCTATATTCTGTTCCTGCTGTGAAGTCCATCTGTTCATGAATCTATCCTGTAGCATAGACTTCATTATGTGGGTTGCAATGCTTTTGTTCTGTGACACAGTGAAGTACAGGAGATACCTAAACTCCTCCTTCCTTGGCAGCACTACTTTCTCAATCAGCCTGTTGAATTCATTACGATTTGATTCATATAGGGAAGCAAGATGGACTCCAGCCATATACTCCTGAAACAGTTTGTGGGGAAAGAAGACAGGCAATTGCACATGAGGATTTCTCTCATGCATGTCCATGCTAGTGGTAATTCTGTCCTCCTGAGACAAAATCCCAACCCGACAGGCAGTGTCCTTGGATTCTGGGCATATTTTGAAATCATCTTCACTGTAAACCAATGTATTTTCTAGCAGACCATTGAGGGCCTGTTTGGCAATAGGTCCAAGGAGCTCATCAATTTTTTTCAAAAAGGCAATAAGTGAGGGGCTGCCTACTTTCTTCACCTCTTTCTGAGCATAATGTTCTTTTAGAAAGCCAATCATTTCATTGAATATCTGAGAAAAGGTTTTCAGTGATTTCAATTCCTTTAGTTTTGGCTCGTCAAGTTGTTTCCACATAAGACACAACATGGCTACATATATAGGATAGTGGGCCATGTATTCAGATATGATATCATTATCATTGGTGAACTGGACAAGCTGATTTGCTTTATCATCATTGTTTGGAAAGTATTTGTGAATGTAAACTGACAAATTCTCTCTGTCGAAACCCTCAACATGAATGAATGTGTAGAGCTTCATTAGATCACCATCTGATCTAAACTCTACTGCTCTCCATGGGCGAGTCGTCACCAAGACTGGGCAAGAGGCAAGTTAATCCGAACAAAGAATATCTACAAGTGCAATATCACCAGTCTCAGATGAGCTTCTGCATGCCTCTGAGGAGGTGACCCTTGGCTGTGATGGCTGAAGTTGCGTTCGATCAGTAGACTGTGATTCACAAGATTTTGTCTTCATGATTTTGCCACTGACTTCGTCTAGCCCATCGAATGCAATGAACACCTTGTCAGGATTTGAGCGGATATACTCAGTAATCTGAGAAACTGTTGCTGGATTGCTTTTGTCCAGATAAGACTTTGCAATCTCGCCAATAGTGTGTTGCTTAAATTCACGTAGAGGAACAATCAAGACCCACACAAAGTCACTGAAATGCTTCCCTTCAATCCAGTCCCAGGCAATCTTAGCACAAAATGTAGTTTTTCCAGCCCCTGCCTCTCCCTGAACCATGATCCGCTTGGGGAACTCTCCATTGACTTTGAGGTCAAGGATATCATTGTAATCTAGCTTTCGCTTCTCTGTCCCATGCTCTTCTTGTAAGTAGAGATTAGTATACATGTCTTTAAACTGCACAGTGGAAGCAGGATTGAGAGGATCAGTTCTGATCTTACAAAGAGTTGACCTGTACTTGAACTTGAAATCAATTGCACACCGCTTAACCAGTTCAGGAGATAGAGGTTTGGTCTGTGATTCTGACAGTCGTGATGGTCCTCCTAAAAATACATAGATAATCCATATTCACATGATATCTAAAGGTAAACATAGTTTGATCTTTACAAGGTACATCTAAAAGGATTGTAAAGGCTCTGGGCTAATAGTGTGACCTACGACGAGGTGCATGTACTCAAAGACACAAAGTCCTACATATACGTTTGTCTGAACTTATTTGATTTCATTCAGTTTAAGGGCATTCAAAATCTGAGTAATTTAGGTTTACATGACACTTGTACATGAATATCACTGGAATAATTTTTCCAAGGACATTTCAGCAATGCATAGTTTCTCTGACAATCACACATTTTATTTTGAAAAAACTCGAGAGAAATATGACTGCATCTCCAGTATGCCTCTGCCTAAATTCAGTTAAGATCAGGGCTTGAATCAATCTTTAAATATCACAATGAGAACGAAAAGCCTGTGTATTTATATAAATACATGTTGATTGATCTTTACAACCTTTGAACTTTGACCTGACAATCAAATATCTGATCACTTGTCTCCCTATGGTGACGCATACCATATGTAGTTTGTTTTACATTTTTTAATCAGCTAAAATAGCATACAAATATACACTGTCTTGAGAGGTTCTGGTTTAAACTACGGGCAAGAGAAGCAAGTGGTACTATTGGAGTCACCCAGGCCCATAGTTTTAACCAGTACCTCGAAAAGAAGGAAGAGTATTTTTTGTTTCTATCCTGCATCAACAAAATAAAAATAAAAAATAAAAAAAAATCTTTTAAACATTTTGAATTTGATTAAAGATAAAGGTGAGTTCTGGTCATCCGATTGCATTGTGAAAGAAAAGGTGTGGAATGGATCAGAAAAAGTTGATCAAGTAGCATGTAGGTATATATTGGTGTGTACTGCAAAGTTCTGGAGTCATCAAAATCATAATAAATTTGGCCCAGTCTTGGTAAAGTAACAAGCACTGTACACAGAAAGATGTGTATGGGACTACACAAATGGTGTCGGGGCTACTAACCTTGATTTCCTAATCTTTCTATGCTCATTACTCAGCCAGTATACATTTTCTACCAAAATTGTTTGGCAAAATGACATTTATTTGTAATCTTGAACATTCAGTGTAAGTATTGTTTGATTCTGTGAGAATTAATTTTCTTTTTTTAACCAGAACTCACCTTTATCTTTAAATTTCATTACAAAAAATAATAATAATAATTACAAAAAATTAAAACAAACATTTAAAATTTAAAGATTTTACAGTTTTTTTGCTAGCCGTAAATAGTATTTTTTTGCAAAATCACGTGAAGAGCTCTAAACCAAACAATTTGTGATGCAGGAAATATAAACTTGAAATAGTTATTGGTATGGTGATAATCGTTTCATTTTGCTGACTTTTGACCTTCTTAACCTGACATTATAATCAGTTTGTCTCAATATAGCGGCTCAAACCATTCTTGAGACATTGCAATAATGGGGCTAAAACCCTAACAATTTATTTAATTTGACCCTCATGGCCCTTGGCCTTTGACCTACACTGTACTTATCCCAAAATGTTATCACTTCATCTCACTTTGGTGATGCATGATAACACCAAGTTTCAAGTTCATACGTCCAGTGGTTCTGTCATATCATGAGAGTAAATCCTGTAGTTTCAAAAGTTTACCTCTATGACCCCCTTAAACCCCAAATCTATTAAAGATTATCTTCCTAAGTTCCTATGGTGATAAATACTATCACTCAAGTGGTTCTTGAAATATCGCAATAACAAAAAAGCAGGCGGATGGACATACAACAGGCAGAAAACAATATGTATCATTAAATGGAACTGACTCAAGTCATCAAACTATATCTTGTGGGGTCCCTCAGGGGTCCCTTCTTGGCCCCCTTCTTTTTATATTATATATTAATGATTTTTATCTTTCATCTGATGTACTATCTTTCATATTTTTTGCAGATGATTCAAGTGTATTTTTTTCTCATAAAAACCCTGAAGTTTTATTAGATACAGTTAATATTGAATTAAAGAAAGTTATTTTGTGGATTCATGCAAATAAGTTGTCCTTGAATCTTCAAAAGACAAACTATATGTTTTTTAGTAACTCCCTAAAGGATGTACCTGGAAATGTATTTTTTGATGATGTTAATGTTGTGAGAGTAACTTCCACCAAGTTTCTTGGGCTACATATTGATGAGAAGCTGTCTTGGGCATCTCATTGTACTAATATTTGTAAAGTCGTGTCTAGAAATACTGGTGTAATTTATAAATTAAGTTCTTTTGTCCCACAAGAAATTTTGCTTATTTTGTATTCTACTTTAATTTTGCCTTATCTCAATTATGGAGTGCTGGCATGGGGAAAGTCATTGAAAACACAATTAGATAAGATTCGTGTTGCCCAAAAAAGGGTGGTTAGAGTTGTTTTTAATGCGAGCTATCGTGCTCATACTAATGTTTTGTTCTACAGTAATAAGCTATTGAAGGTTGAAGACATTTACTTTATACAGTTAGGCGCAATTACGTATGGTTTTGAAAATGGTACTCTCCCAAATGCGTTAGTACAAATATTTCGAAAGAACAATCAAATTCATAGCTATAATACAAGGCAGGCAACTGCACTTCATATTCCACGTGTAAGAACTGCTTTTGCTCTGAAGACGCTGGCTTGTACTGGTCCCAAGTTTTGGAACTCACTTCCTATCAATGTAACTAGATCTGTCAGTGTCTTTGTTTTTAAACGCAAATTGAAATTACATTTATTGAGTAACTATGTCGACAATTAATGTAAAAATTATATCACCAGAAATGATATTAGATAATAATTTATCAATTTGTTTTATTATTCAATATAAATGTCAGCATTTCACATTCTCTCCCCCCCCCCCTCCTCTCTTCTATTTTTCTTTTTCTTTACACCATATACCATTTTCCCCTATATACATATAACTTTCTTCTTTCTCTGTTTTTTTCTCTATTTTGTGGTTTTTCTTGTTGCAGTTTGCTTTTTTCCTCTCGATCCCTTTGTATATATTTTCATCCTCTCATTTTCAAAATTTAAGCTATCCCTTGTAAATATTTCCCCCATATTTAATCATGTATAGTTTTGATAACTTTGAAACATTTTTAAAAGTGAAACATTGATGGATTATGTTATATGGGGACCTTGCTCTTACAAGCCCAACTTTTCTAAGGTCTCCACTTTCTTTCATTTGGATGATATATCGACTTAAAATTGCACTTAAATTGTTTTTTCTTATGCTGTTTTTTGTTCTATTATTATATGTAAAAATGTTGTGAAAGAAAGAAATAAAATGAACCTTGAACCTTGAACCCCAAAACATTTTTTTGCCGGCACCTCCTTCGGTGGGCAGATGCATAATTACAGTTTTAGAATGGAATGACGCAAAAGAATATAATTTGTTTGTAGAACGTTTGCATGTAAAGAAAGCTGACATACATTAAATTCTGCTGTCACTCAAAGTACTTGTACATGTACTATATTGGTGTCCAGATAAATATCTAGGATAAACTAAGCTAAATTAGTAAATTATGAAAAGAGTCGAAGGGCCTGATAAAACTTGACACTTCTGTAAATTGTGGCAAATGTATAGAACACAGAGCACTCACTATCTCTATGGTAAAAAATGACTTCACTTTTATGAGTGATTTTCTATGTCTTCTGGTGTTGCAAGAATTAGTTTCTGTTTACCTGTGCTGTTTGGAATTGGAGGTCCATTGAGTAATCCGTCTGATAGGCCACCCAAGTCAATCTCTCGAAGTTTGTCTGCCAAAAACTGTCGTTTATTTGAGTGTGGAGGTTGCTGCATGACATTCCATTTCATAAACACATCCAGTAACGCATTGGTGTAGTTCTTCAAATTCTCAACCAGGATTGCTTGTAGCTGAGCATGGGGGATCCCTAAAGATATCCCTACAGCCTTGTAGTAAGATGGAGAGATGTCCTGGGCCAGCTTCAGGAACTCCAATTCACTGACAGTACTGTAAAATGAATAATAAATCAATTGGGTATGATAGGATATTCATTAGAGAACATCCTATTGGCTAAAAAGTTATCATGTGATACGCATCAATTTGTATTGTGTGCTTGAGTGTGCAATATAACAGGGTGGGGATATCAAAATATATTGCCTGTGATATATAACATTTGAGACATATTGCCCCAAGTTGCAAGTGAGGGCGGTATTGTTCTGGCAAGGGTAATTATTCCAAAAAAGCAGAGTCTGGCAGTAAAAAAAAATGATAATGTTTACATGTATTATCATTACTAGAGTTGATAATGATGATCAATGATGATGATGATGATGATAATGATGATGATGATGATGATGCTGATATCGATGATGATGATGATGATGATGATGATGATATTGATGGTGATGATGATGATGATGATGATTATTATCATTATTATTATTAATAATATTATTATTATTTTCTTCATCATCATAATTATTATCTGTATCATGCATAATAATGCTAAAACAAAACAAAAATCGTTTGGTTGTCCTTGATTGCTTTTCTGGAGTAGGGGCAGGCTGGCGGACTTTATTTATTTATTTATTTTTAATTTAATTTTGTGTGTTCCCCCCCCCCCCCATTTTTGTATATATATTTTTTTTAATAAATATTTTTCAATAAAAAATAAAAAAAATCATTGGGATGTCAAGCATTTAACAAACAATGTCTATATAACAATTTTAATATGGTAAAAGACTAGTTTAATGTACAATGAATATCAAGACCAACACAGAAAGTTTATTTGGCTTTGAAATACAGCACCTTTTAAATCCCCACTGCACTACTTGCGCCCTCTATATAGCAAACAATGCCTAATCGATGACCATTGGTCCCCCATGATCCTCTTTATCTTATGTTAACTGAGAGCTCATTTAATGAGATAACCACCTGTCCAGTGACCTTGCAGGGTGGTCTAATCCCTCATGTAAACTAGTACAGATGGGCTTTAAAATGAGTTTAAGAATGCTCAGAACCTGATTTGAATAAACGGCATTTTGACATAGAAAAATAAAAATGCCAAGTTTAATAAATACAGAATTGCGTACTGAAAAGACCAAACTGGCAACGGGACGCATTTTGATCCTTGCAAAATGCATAAAATGGTATGGCATTTAAGATTGCTTCCCCCCAAAAAAATGAATTTAAAAAAATAATTAAAAAAGAAAATGAATTAAAAATTACAACATTATTTTAAAAAATAAATAAATTGAGCGGCCTGAAAATGACGAGCGGGAGGTCGAGGACAACCAAATGATAAATTTTGTTTTGGCCAAATCGATGTTATATCACTAAGTTTGATTGATAACATAATGATTTCAAGTGTCACATTGACTCACTCACGACTATTGACCACATTGTGTGGTTTGCCTTGTTTAAGAAAGTTGAGTTATAATATGACAGTCATTTTGTTGTGGACCACACTTTCCTGCCACATGTTTGTTTAGTCCTACATGTATATACACATGTTTGTGTCCAGTAAATGTGACTCTTAGACTGGGCGAAATTTTTTATTTGAAACTCCATAACCTCACAGTATATATATGCCAAAACTCATTGCTGCATGATCAACCTTTCCAATCGCTTCAACATCGTGTGTATAGGGCCCTGTTTCATAAATCAATCACAAATGCTAAATTTCTAAGACAAATCTGCTCTCAGCCGATCAAATGCCACAATTTCAGTAGCTTATGACAGTTATTGTAATTTGTTATCGAACCCAAGTTTATTATTAACCCCGAAGGCGCTACTACCACTGTTACATACCTTACTGCAGTGTTAGGACCTGGATTGGTTTCAACGTCACCAGATCTCATCAAGAGAATCAGGATCAAATAGAGAAGGCAGAATCCATCCATGGTGTAAGGTGTCCTTTTCACTCGACAGAAGTGTAGTCCTCTGGAAAATGGTGATAAGACATGGGCGGAAATATCTGAAAAAAATATTTATATTATATTGACTGGGCTTGAGGGGTATATCAGAAATATTTACCAAGCTAAGATCATATTGCCCCGAGTCAAAGACGAGCTAGGGCAATATGGTCAATATGGCGGGAGGTTTCTTCATAAACCAGGAGATTGCGGGAGACTGCGGAAGATTGCGAGAGTAAGGGAGTAAGGGCGTGGTGGCGGGAGTTTCTCGCTACGAGCTGGTGGGATGGCGGGAGATTGAGCCCCCTCTCTCCAAATGCGGGAGGGTTGACAGCCCTGATTAAGGGCTACTTCCCCCTTTCCCACAAATGGCAATGCCAATGATCTCATTTTCTACCCCTTTAAAGTTATCACCTTATTACTGGATGTACTTGAAAAATGCAGAAGATCTGCAGTCAAGTTTCCAGGTCTGTTTTCCAAGGGCCATCTTCCTTCTCAAATACTGTGATCTGATGATGCATACAGTATGTAATGTACACATTGTTAAATTTTAATGTTAATTTATTTTGTGTACAGTACGTAAGTACATATCGAAAGCAACTTGTTTTACTCAACGGGCGGGGGGGGGGGGGGGTAGTGAGCACTTCAATTAATTTTGTTTACTCAACACCCCTTCCCCCCCCCCCCCCCCCCCCCCGTTAGTAAAAAAAAAATGGCATACAATCTCCCTCGAAGCAGTTCCCCAAAGTTGACAGCCTTGCTTAATTAACTAAACAATTACATTTCTGGATGCTAACATAATTAGCAAGGTATCATGTTAAAATATGTGTTAAAGCAAATGGTCTAGTCATAGATATTTCTACAGGTGATAACAAGAATCAACATGATGACTGTAGTGTAGGCCCTAACCAAATAAAAGAAGCACAACTACAACACTACAACTACAGCGAGTAGGCCTACAGTTTACCCAATTAACCCCCATCAAACTGCATGCATTCCATCATACAACTAGTACTGGTCACTCCAGCAAAGCATAGAGAGTCAATGCTAATTCGTATTGACCTCTATAGCACTGCATACTTGCTGAGAGACAGGTATTGTACACAATTATATACACACCGCACAATATTGCATTGACTGCACACAATAGTACCGATGTGGCTGATCTGATCGGCAAATTTGACGCTATACTTAAAATTTGAATTTTTTAATTATTCTTTTTAACACCAGTAAGTTGAACAAATTGTATTTTACTGCTATTTAGGTTTCATTAATTGTCACTAAAGTACCGATTTTTAGTGAAATCAGTTGAGTTTTGTACAGTGGTGTTTGAAATGTTGAGAATCAAAGGCACAGCTTTTAATACACAGCCAGGATAGTAATGCAGCTACATGTATATGTATAAACAAGGAACAAGATTATTTAAAATAGACTAGGCCTAACCTTGTTTCAGTCTGATCAGGTTTACAGAGACAGCAAGTCGTCGATTATAGACTTAAATCTAAATCTACTGCAACTGAAGAAAGATCTTAAAATTTAGTAAGATCAATCACTGAATCGAACTGGGATTCATATTCGGAAGCGAGGTGGCCGGTGGTGTGGCGCGTCAGTACGTGCACATTTCTGGCAGGAAAATGGCGACTATACGTTTGGGTGTTTCGAATGAAAGGGGAATCCCCGGGCTGACGTCCTACTACGCGGCTGGCGTCCTACCGCTGCATTTAAATATGTGAATATATGAATATTGTGTTGCTACAGTGTGGTTGAGATCAAAATTAAATCGGCCAGATTCTGGAATAACCAGTATGTCGCAATGATTTTTGACAAGTTACGACCTGGATTTAGCTGTTAATTGTTTTTATGTATTTTTTGTTCTTCTTTTTTTCACAACAGCCTGGCTATTTCAAAAGGATATTCTCTGCGCGCGACCGGTGAACGAACTTAGTACCACATAAATTGACATCAGTAGTAAAAAAAAGTTTTCAGGGTCTCCAATAATAATAATTGTTGTCATGTCAGTCGATCTAGGGGGAGGGGGGGCAATCAGCCACGGCCAACCCCTTTTGGTTGCCTAAAAAAGGGTAAATAGAAAGCGAGAGAGCAGGGGCGTAGACAACGGGGGGGGGGGGGGGGATGAGGGGGATGGCATGTACAATCATCCCCCCCCCCCCAGGTTTTGGGGAATGATATTTGCTTACTTAATAAGTCATAATGATGATAATAATAGTAATAATAATAATGATAACAATTATAATATTAATAATAATAATAATTATGATGATGATAATAATAATTTGGAAACCACAAGATAACCACAAGATTAAACAGGCGCGGATCTACGGGGGGGGGGGGGGGGGTTAGGGGGTTTAACCCCCCCCCCCCCTTGGGCGGCCCCCCCCCCCCCCCAAAAAAAAGGGGAAAAAAAGGGGGAAAAAAGAAAAAAAGAAAGAAAAAAGAACGCACGCTGGAGAGAAACCCTTTCAAGTGCAAATATTGTGAGAAGATATTCAACTCATCTGGTAACTTAACCAAACACATGATAACTCTGGATATAACTGTGTATTTAACTGTTACTTGATTTAAAAAGACGTTATCATGCACTGCTTTTTATGGTCTCCATTGTGTTAATAGATGCCAGGAAAACATCACTTACGGGGTTCAAATAAACACCGCCCAAAAAATCGGTTCGCCGCTTCGCGGCTCGTGGACGATGCTCCGCATCGTCATTATTTTGGTCATTCCCCCCCTTAGCAAAAAGCTAGATCCGCCCCTGAGTCATCCCCCCCCCCCAGGTGTACGAACCTGTCTACGCCACTGCGAGAGAAAGAGAGAGAGAGAGAGAGAGAGAGAGAGAGGGGGAAGAAAAGTATAGGAAATAAAATCATGAAACCTATAATTACACATACAGATTACAGATTTCTGATCAGTTTGCTTGACATGGGCCTACGAAAACGGAGGGAAATAGAACAGTTTGAAAAACAGTTGTATCGAATAGAGAAAGAGAGGTGATTTCTAAAATGAAATGATAGAGGTTCTGTGATTTTTTTTTGATTTTTTTTTTTGACGGCTATTTTAAAGGTTCTAAAATCAATAATTTAAAAACTGAATATCTTCGGGGCTCCCTAGCAAAAGCTTTACCCCAGCAGGGGCTCTAAGGCGGGCACCTGGACTCCAAAACAATATTTTGTTCTAAAAAAATGTAGTTAGGAGAGAGGGTGTGTTTTTATCACTCATCAAGCTAGACGGCCAGTGGCGTATCTATGGGGGGGGCAGGGGGGCAGAGTGCCCCCCCCCCCCCTGACGGGCTCCAGGGGAAAAAAAGAAAAAGGGGAAAGAAAAGAAAAAAAGGAAAGGAAAGAAAAAGAAAAGGGAAGAAAAGGGAAGAAAAAAAGGAAAGAAAGAGAAAAAAGGAAAAAAAGAAGAAGAAGAGAAAAGGAAGAAAAAGGGAAAAGAAAAGGAAAGGAAAAAAATGGGGAAATTTAAAAAAAAAAGACCATGGCCGTACGCACCAGGGGGGGGGGCAGTTGACCCCAGATATTTTGAAAACGTACAGTTTTTTTCCTGAAAATGTAGTGTAGGCCTATACCAAATCCTTCAATTCTACTTTTGAAAATGCAAAAGTACCCTCATGACCAGTTCGGTCGCTCGAACTCCCTTCACTCCTTTTGCTTTTGAGATTCTTCGAAAACTTTTAACGCATCTTTCCCCCTCCCCCACCAGAAAAATATTCCGCATACGGCCCTGAAAAATTTAGACAAATGAAAATAGGAAAATATAAGTGATATAACAAATTCGAAACTCTTCGCTGGCGCGAACTGCTTGCTAGCCTATTTTGTATTAAATGTTTTCACTTGCTCGTCCCCCTGAAAAAAGAAAAGGATTAGCATTGCCTAGAATATTATTGTGCCTTCCCCGACGGGCCCCTACCTGCAACCATGGCAACAATAACACACAGTGTAAGTACCAAATGTTACTAAAAGAGAGTAATTCATTTTTCTCGCTCGCTACACTTGCTCGCGAATAAAATGAATAGATATTGCTTTGGAAACAATTGTGCCCACCCTTGACCTGCAACAATATCATTAAAAATGGAAGAGTTTTTACGCCCTCTCGCCAAATAGGAATTGAATCGCGTTAAACACGATTGCGTCCATTCTGACCTGCACCAATAAAAACTAGTTTATTTATTCATTTCTATTAAAAGAGAATTTTTTTTGCTTGCTCGCTATGCTCGCTCGCCAGAATGGAATTGACACCGCTAACGTGCCCGCCCCAACCTGCAACAACCAGTTAATAATCATGTACCAAACGTTATTCAAAGAAGTTTTGGTGTGCTCGTGCTCGCCAAAACGGAATTAACATCACCTTAGACATGATTGTGTAAGCCCTGCCCTGCAACAAAAAAATCTGAAATTTATGAACCAATTATCATTACAAAAATTGTGCTCGCTCGCTACGCTCGCTCGCCAAAACAGAAATAACACCGCTTTTAATAATCACGTCCGTGACATGGAACAATGAACCAAAGTTTATGTACCATATTTTCCCTATAAAAGAGAAGTGATTTTTTTGCTCGCTCGCTACGCTCGCTCGCCAAAATAGAAATAACACCGCTTTTAATAATCACGTCCCTGACATGGAACAATGAACCCAAGTTTATGTACCATATTTTCCCTATAAAAGAGAAGTGATTTTTTTGCTCGCTCGCTACGCTCGCTCGCCAAAATAGAAATAACACCGATTTTAATAATTACGTCCCTGACATGGAACAATGAACCCAAGTTTATGTACCATAATTTCCCTACAAAAGAGAAGTGATTTTTTTGCTCGCTCGCTACGCTCGCTCGCCAAAATAGAAATAACACCGCTTTTAATAATCACGTCCCTGACATGGAACAATGAACCTAAGTTTTATGTACCATATTTTCCCTATAAACGAGAAGTGATTTTTTTTCGCTCGCTCGCTACGCTCGCTAGCTCGTGGAATTATGTGCCCACCACTAACCTGCTACAATATCATTAAAAAGAGAAATGTAGGGGGTTGCCTGCCCGCC